CTTAAAGTCTGGGCCAATTTTTTGTATATCTCTATATGTGCTGAACTCATATTCAGTGTCTGGCACATAAAAGGAGATTAGGAAGTGTTTACTGGATGAATGAACTTCATATACAACAAAATATACTCTATAGCAATGGGAGAGAAACATCATAAAGTTAGTATTACAGTTACATTTCCTGTATGAAACATGATATAATATAAAAAGCCCAAATACAGCAGATGGTGATCTATGCCTAGGTTGCACGGAACATTTAATAACCTGAAAGAAGCTATGCTTTCAGCAATTTTTATTCATTTGGAAACTGTTAGCTCTTTATTATATGCATGTATTAAATCATTTTCTACATAAACAGTAACAAGCATTTATTTTCAGTGATCATCTATATTGAAGTGCAGATACTAAGAATATAAAGTATAAACATATCATTTCTTCTGTAGAAGAGTTTAAAATATAGTTGAGCAAATAATTAAGGAAAAAAATGCAAAACAAAAATGGTATAGCCAATAGTAGCAAAAAGATTTTAGACAATTCCTCACATACATAATTGTCATTGAAACCTCTGTCATACATGTTTCAAGATAGCCAGTTTTGGAGATTTATTATTTCTACTCTAAGTAAAATGCCTAAGAAAATAAGGAAATCAGAGAAGTCTGAACACACTTGAATGAACTTTGAGACAATTTGTAGTATAATTGAACACATGACACTCAGAATTAAGGTTCTTGTTTGGTTTTGGGGAAAATATGGTGATGCTGTACTATGTTCTTAAAGGAATTGTATTTGCATTTTCTTTTTGACTAGATTTTCAAGTTAACCTCTCTTTGTTTGGTTTAATCATTAGCATAATAAAGAGAGGAATAACTGAATTGTCAGAAGAATAATGCAAAATAACAGATGAGAAAGACTTTCAAAAAATCTTGCTATCCAAATACAAGTTGATATTATCACTATTGTTAGGAGCAGTTCATTTTCCTGCCCGTCCAAAAAGGTCATTTGTGAACACATTTAATCTCTCATCTTTTCCATGAGTCATCTTGACAAAAAAAAAAAAATTACACAGTCTATTTTTGAAAAATGGTTCTGTACATCAAAAATAAATGTCCTGTATGGCAAATTGTTGTTTTAGTTTTCACAGTTGATGCAGATTCTTATATAATCAATTTGGATTTGGCAATCAATATTGATCATGAAATTTGCTAAAATGAATAGCTTGAACAAAACTGTGGCAGTTTAATTGTGCAGTGTTATATGTGCTGAGTTTTTAGTGATAAGCACATTTATACATGCAGAAAAAAAATGGACCTCTGTAATAAGGAATGACTTTAACACTACCAGCCTGAGGGAATAAGTAATTGTTATGGTTTAGACCTAGAATGTCCCCCCAAAGTCTCACTTTCAGAGGTGGGACCTGGTTGGAAGGGGTACCTCAGGCGGGATGTGACTAGAACAGTTTATATTATACGTGTCCCTGGCTCCTCCCTTCCCTCACTGCCTCCTGGTTGCCATGACATGAACAACTGTCCTTTACCATGGCCTTTCACCACTCTGCTTCTACATTGGAGCCAGCCAACCATGTGACAGTGTGAGCCAAAATAAACCTCTCCTTCTTTAAGTTGTGGGTGTTGGTTATTTTGTTCCAGCAATAGGAAAGCTGACTAATACAACAATGAAGATGAAAATTCTGTTGACCTGTTACCCCCACTCACTGACAGAGGACCCACTCTATTCTCTACTTTGGAATGGCTACTGTTCATGTTCTCCTTCACTGACAAGACTTGTTATCTACAGTCTACCAGATGAAGGTCCTTAGTCCCTACCCTAGCTACCTCATGAAGGTCATTTGTCCCTATGATAGCTGCACTCCTCAAGGCGAGGATCTTCTTTTTGATATCATCAGTGTAAACAATGATGCTCTTTGTTGGAGACAACTATGGCTCAACCTTTATTGAAGAGCTCAGAGCAGTGCTGCTGGCGTCAGAACATTTCATGGGAAAGATTAGCTCTTCTCTCTAACAAGATATATGCACACTGTCTCTTGGGACACTACAGAGTAGGAGTCATTGGTTCACCATTGTTATGATTGCCCTGAAAAATATTAAACTTCCCCATGTTTCTCAAGCCCTCAAATAAAAGCACCTATATATATATATAGCAGATCATGCAAATAAATGTTTAGCAGAGTCACTATTTCAGTTAAGAACCACAGCTCAAATCCAAGTAAATGTTCAGCAAAGTCACTATTTCAGTTAAGAACCAGAGCTCAACTCTGACTCTGGAATCATCAACAAAACCTTAAAGGTATTGTTTAAAAAATAGATAAAATCTTAAGAAGATTACTAAAAATATATATCTGTAGAGTGCATTTTCGTTTCCAGTTCTTGTAAATCCTAAATTTGAACTCCCCTTATATTTGAAAAAATAAAATTCTTCAATTGTTTTGCAAAGAGCACATATTTCCCAAGGCAAAATTTCCTGGTTTCTGGTGGCTCTACTACATTAGCAGTTTCACAGTGGTTGTTGGTATGGTCCTTGCTCAGAAGTTACCTGTCCTTTGGAGCACTTTAACATTTCTGCCTGGCAGTTGCTATCCTCCCCACCCCTTCCTAACTCTACCCAGAAGAGTCTCCTCCAAAGTTTTGAAGGGTCCACACTTTCCTAGTGAAAAATTAGCAGACTCCATTCTTTTGTTTGTTTGTTTGTTTGTTTAGGTATTTTCAATTACCAAAAAAGCTGGATATTATTCCAACAGGTGCATTATTATTAAACAATAAAATAAATTTCTCCTTTTAAACTTTCCTAAGTTTGAGGTAGACTGAATAATGATGTTATTAATAAATATGATTATCTTATTAATTAAAAGTCTAGCTAGGGCCAGGAATGTAGCTCAGTGGTGCCACACCTGCCCAGCAAACTCAAGGTCCTGAGTTTGATCCCCAGTATGAAAAAAAAGAAAAAAATCTAGCTAATGAATTTTCTTAAGACAAGTTATATCTTTATTTTGAAAGATAATTACTAAAGATAAATCTCCTTTCCTTTTTTCTAATATTTTGTCTAATAGGCAACATCTTATTCAAAAAAAGGATAGCATGTTTGTAAGGTTATAACTATATGCTGCACATTTTCCTAAATAAATACTCAAATGAAGCAAACCATAAGAACAGCATGAGGCATCTTTCTGTGTGCACATTCAGCTCTAAGTTTTATTTTTTTCAGAAGCACAGATCATACTTTATCACCAAATTTTCCACCGGTATGTTTTCACCTCCTTCAGTTACATAACAAACTAATTTATTGTGGATTTCATACTGCCAATTAGAGTACAGATATCTCTCTTTTATGAGCTACTTGTTTAATGACTATTCCAACTTATAACTGAGGTGCCCTGTTTGGACTCATGACTCACCACTCGGAGTTACAACCTGTCTTTTGTTACATCTTGTTTATAAAACTTCAGTGTTTTTTTTTTTGGTATAGTACACCTTGTTTATACTATGCTGTCATTTTGGGTGATTGAACTATACTGTACAGTACTGTAGTTTTATGCTCTGTTATACATTACAGTAATGCATGTAAGAGTTATGCAAATAAAGTAAGGTCAAAAGTTGGAGTTTCCTTTCACCATTCATTTGTTCTGAATATTATAATGTACATACTATATACAATTCCTCATTTAGTGACCTAGTTGCAGGAATGGAACCCAGTTGTTAAATGGAATGTCTGTGCATGGTAAAAAGTCCTTGATAAATTCTTAAGATATGTGTGAATGAGTGGATAAAGTATGAATGGTTAAGGAAGAGTTGTGACAAGATAAAATTTTATGTTTCAAGATGACTCGTAATGTCACTTTCAAAAATCTGGCATAAAACAGAAGATATTGGAGCACAGGTGGAATTATTTTTTTAAATGACATGTTCTTTATGCCACACATTGCAACAGAAATTTTCAAAGTCAACTAAAAAAACCCAAAAAAAACCCAGGTTTTTCAAAATTTACCATATATGGTAAACTTTATGCACACCAACCACAACTGAATCATGGAATTTTACAATGCTTGTTATCTTTTTTTTAGTATCTCTTTGTTGGAAGAACAATTATTCAGAATTTTTCAGATCATGTCACCCATGCAAAACTATACACTATCTATTTCAATAGTATCTATGTAACTAAGGGTTATTATCTTAAGCAATTGTTTCCTCAGGTGAATAAAACAGAAATCTTATTCCCTAGTAAAAACTAAATGACCTGATTACTTTCTCTTTCTCCCCACAAGCTTTTTCAAAATTTATTATGTATAGTAAACTCTATGTAGACTAACCACAATTAAAATTGTGGAATTTAACAATGCCTGTTATCTTTTTGTTGTTGTTTTTAGTATCTCTTTGTTTGAAGGACAATTATTCAGATGGGGGACAGAAGGTAAAATTCAGATTAACAGTCAAGATCCTGAAGAGTTTATTTTCATCAAATGACCTGGGTAATTTATTGAGCAAGTACTGGTAGCACTGGAGTTTTAAAATAAGTTGTTTCTTTCCATTTCCCTAGTTAAAGCAACAATTAAACTGTTTCGGCTTTAAAAATTGAATTGTTAAAGGAAAGCTGATCTTGGCATAATCTCCTAGATATTAGTTGAAATGACCTCCTTACGTATTTGTGAGTTATTTTTGGTCAAGACGGCCATGAAAATTTTTCACATTTGCCAATTCTTTAATTCTTTGGAGAATTCTGAGCCAAATAGTATTCAATATCAAGTACTGTTCAAAGAAATATTATCTAATGTTAGGAAGACTTAGGCTATCATAAGCACAGTTAAGTAAACTTAAACACTAAAAGAAAATGAAATGTATTGGATTTCCAGCCTCCAAGGGCAGAGAACACTAGGAATATGCAGCTCTCTGTGGCTTCTGCCATCTCTCCCAGCCACATATTTGCTCCTGGACCTTGGTCTTAAGTCCCACATCCACTTGTTGCAAAACTTGCTCACCAGACTTATGTGAGACTCAGGTGCATGTGGATGGGATGCAGAGCTCCACATCTATGGAACAGTGGGAGACACTAAGGAAGGAGGCATGCACATGACTGACTTCTGGCTCACAGAGAAAAACTTAATCACAAAGCTGTTTGGCCCTTCAGTACCAACGTCAGAATGGGGGCCTCACAAAAGGGAGCAGGGTGGGGCAAAGATGGCAATGATGAAATATAAAGAAAATCACCCTCCACCCCTCTTGTGCCTTGGAGAACAGCAACCTTACACTCCTAAACCAGCTGCTGTAGGGACTTTGGCAGGGCTATCGCCAGAACCAGACACAAGTGTCCACAGCTCCCACACAGCTCAATCACCAAGGATTTAATTGGAACCAATTGGCTTTCTTCAGTGCCCATGACCACAGGCCTTTGGAGTTCTTTTAATGACTGAAAAGACTGGAGCTAGAGCTGTAAAATAGAATGGACAGTCTTAATGGGGCCCAGAACCTGCTGGGGAAGCAGATGGTCCTCTGTGAATAAGAAATAAAATTCCTTACATGAATCTAGGTAAATTGATTTTTTTTCCTTCCCCCAGCATTTCTGAAAAATGAGAGCTATCTAATGCTCAGTGTACCTAGGATAATAAATTCATGGCTTACATTTCTGGTTCTTAGTTTTGAGTTGTGTTTGGTTAGTACAGTTTTGTTTTTCTTAATACCTGTATTCCAAACTTGTTCCCTAATGTGTTTGTGTTTTGACATCTAACATAGAACTGAGCACCTGGAAATTCTTAGAAGAAGATTACTTCCTGATGGGTTGGATCATAATACTTGTAAGTAAAACTTCTTTAAATAATCCAACACCCCACCCATCTTCAAGGAACATTGCCACCATTCTTCTGTTTCTAGCTGGATTACACATTACCTTCATGTGTTCTCAATTTCTGAGTGGTTTTGGAGGAAGAACTAAGAACTCCGATATACTAACACCCTGACCAAAAAGGTGTGAGCATGGGACCAAGAATGTTGGCCTTCAGGATAAAATCCTTCCCCTTGGTGGGGGGAGGAGCATTAGGAAGATAAACTTGCTGTGAATTTCCTGAAAGTTTTTATTGACAAAATTGGGTCACTTTGCTGGGAGTGGTGGTGCATGCTTATAAACCCAGCACTCAGGAGGCTGAGGCAGAAAGATTGCCAGTAGTTCAAGACCAGCCTGAACTACACAGTAAGACCTTGTTTCAAAAGAGCGGGGTGGGGAGGTTGAGAACTCGAAAAAGGAACAGGAAATCAGTTTCAGAATGGCCAGGGGATGTGAGAAGCTAGGACCTCATCTTTATCCACTAATTATAGTGAAGCCAGGGTTAACCCAGTCAGGCTACCACTCCCTTAGGCTCAGAGGCTTGACTAGAGTGGTAATCGTGAGAAGACTTCCAAAAAGAGCCATCATCTGAAAACAATAGGAAAGCCTGATAGCTACCATATCCCCAGTAGAGTGGAAAGAAGTGATTTTCTCTTAGATTGTAACTTTCAAGTATATGTGACCCACTGACCCCACCCAGCATCTAAGATAATAAGGGTGGTGGTGAAGGGGTCACTGCTCCACTAGACAGACATGAGCTTCAGTGACAGAACTACTTTGGTGTTACTTTGCTACAACAGCCTTAGTCTGAGGTTCATTTGCTCCCAAAAGGCCTCTCTATCTCTCTCTGTCCTCCAATTTATCCTTCACAGTAGTGCCAAAAGCCTTCTTATGTTACATTTTGAATACTATATAGTAGACACAAAAATTTTTTCAGCAGGACTGTCAAAGCATTACACAGTGAGTTCTATGAGGCACAGAAGCAAGTGAATGGCAATAACTTGCTGTCCCATGATTTATCTCTCCCATTGTTACCAATTTCCACTCTTTCTTCTATTAAAAGAGGAGGGGATTTCTAAATCAGTGATCCCACAGAAGATCATAATCCCAATAATATCCAGCCCATGTGAAAATGCAATGAAAAAAAGTGTTGATACTCCTTTTAGAATTGAGTCAAAATCTTCATTCATCTGTCTACATAGAATAAAAGCTGCTGAGCTATGCTTCTTATGCAAGAATCTACTCTGGATGAGAGTGTCAGGTATTATTTCTTATGGTTTCATGGTTCAACTTGGCTGCCTCTTGTTGGATTCAAATCAAACAAAAGGTAAATAATGTACTGTATACTTAAAATTTACTGAGAGTTGATATTATCACCACAAAAATTATAATAGTATAAAGCAATGAGTATGTTAATTAGCTTGATTGTAGTAATTATTTCACAGTGTATATGTACATCAAAATATCATATTGTATGTTTTAAGTAGACAATTTTTATTTGTTATATATACCCCATATAACAGGAAAAATGAATTGCTCTACTAGGCTGAGAGAGAGAGGAAAGAAGGGAGAAAGGGAAGGAGAGAAAAAAGAAAATGAAAGGAAGAGAAGAAAAAGAAAGAAAGAAAGAAAAAATAAAAAGGAGAGAGGAATGGAAAAGAAGAGAAAAGAAAACAGGTTAATTCAGATGATCGTCTTGGTAAGTTTTACAACCACTGGAAACAGACTTTAAGTAATTTAGTGTTTATGATATGTTTTATCTAAAGTAGTATCAAACCAAGTTCCTAAAATTTGCCAGAAAAATATGAGGAGATCAAGTATAGAACAATTTATCCTCTCTGAAGATATGAAACCTGGGATCAACCAGAATCCATAGAGTTGGTTTGGAAAAAGTAAAGATTCCCATAGAGAATTGTGTTCAGTGTCTATAACTATACATGATTAGGGAAACATTTGATATCACATGAACTCTTGAGTCATAAAAAATGTAGATTCACTAATGTAAAACAAAATCAGATATCTAAGACATATATATTTATTTTTTATATTTTTATATTATTTATATATATTATTTACTATTATATTATTTTATATTTTTTATATTTTATATTTATATATGCATATGTATATATTTACTAAGAGTGCTAGGATGAAGAGAGTAGACTCAGATTAGTGAAGGAGATATTAAGCCTGTGTGAAATACTTTTTTCCCCATCGGTAACCTTCTGTACATAGACTACCATTCATTCATTCATTCATTGACTTCCTGTCATGTGTCTAGATCTGTGCTACATTACAGATGTGTGAAGATACCTACCTTTGAATAACGCCTGCATAGTTAGAAGTTTATAGATTGCAGAAGTAAAAACTCTAATATCCCAGATTATAATGTGTCATTTCATTTGCAGAAAACAGAGTGTAACAGGTTGCCGATATAAAAATCTGTAGATTAAGACATTTTGTGGGCTTCAATTCATCTATAACAGGAAAGAAATATATCAGAAATATATCAATCTCTATCTTTTCTTGTAGCTCTCAAAATCCCACAGTTTAGTTATACATCTACAACTGACCTTTAAACTCCCTGAAAGGCCATTTTAAACAGTAAAAGTCATTTGTTCTGGGGATTTAATCACAAAATATACCTCTCTCCCTTTCAATGTCAGAAAGATGACATTTTGATATAAAAGTTAGTACTTGAAAAACTAATTTTGATAAAAAAGTTAGTTTTTAAAAGTTATCTGTCAGTTTTGAAGTTAAAGAAGTTGATTAAAGTTGTAGAAATGATTGATCTGCCACAATTTATTTGGTTTTTAAGGGGCACTACATTACAGAGCATTTATGTCACTTCAATTCATGTTATATCTATTCTGGACACCATAATAGGCTTTGTTGTATAGCAACAAATAAATCACTTTTTTCAAGGCAACAGTTTTGATAATCTTGCATGCATTATAAATCATTCTAAAGGATTATCTGTCTTTTAGAGATTCTTGACTCTTACATGAGCACAGCATATAGACACAACCTTAAGTAAATAGATAATATAACAACTACATGCTCTATTGAGAACCTACTATGTGCCATGCAACTATTTTACAATGGATCTTCAGATACACAAACTACTAGGGGAAAGATACACATCCACATACACAAACTACCAAAAATGATAAGACATTCTGTTACTGGTTTTTCAGCTCTAAAACTTACCCACTGCTGTTCTCTTTGCCTATTTTGTTCCACTACTCTGTACTGCTCTATCTTTTTTCTCAGATTCCCATTTGGAACTCTATCTTGGCTTCTAATGCTTGGCTCAAAATCCCTTGCTGGTTGTAGGCTAAATTTCCTTGCTCAAAATTTTCTGGTCATTTCTCCTCAGAGATGATGATGGTATTTGTCCTTGTGGCCCCAGAATGACCAACGATGGATAAAAGACACTAGTGACATCTGCTGTTGCTTCAGAATACATAGGCCTCCAACGTGCCAGTCCCCAGAAAAATGTCAAGTCCAGACACACTGAAACACTTGATTCCAGCTGTGGTATACATGGCATCACAACTTGGGTCTGTTTCATTTTCTTACCTGGCAGGATGTGATATGCAACGAAGTAGTACTTCTCATTTCCCTAAATACCACCTGTGTTCTGGTACTTCTGAGCCCTTGTATACTGGAATGTTGTCTACGCTTACCTCTCATCCTAGGGCTTTCCTACATAACCTTCAAAGTCATTTCCTCTTGGAACCTTCATCTGAGATTAATATTAGTTAATACACTGTTAAGTTTTGCTTCCTCATCTCTTTTCCGAAGAATTCCATGAAATCTAAGTCAGCATTTCATTCATCTCTAAATCCTTCATACCATGGACAGAGCCTGGAATGAAGTTTATGCTTAATTAGGTGTGAATTGATTGTGTGAATACATTTGCAACAATGATTGACTGTTAAATGTCACATTCTCAGAATTGTTCAGGGGCCAGTGCCAGGTTCAGAAATGGTTCCACCTTTTCTCTTTTAATTACATCAAATTTTCTTGCTCTTGCCTGGTTTTCCTAGGTTTTTATTTGGAATAAATATTTATTTTAAAAATTTCCCCTGTGGTACTTGGAGCTGTTCTTTCTCTAAAAGTATTTGTCTTGGCATTTATCTCTTCTGATGGGGTACAAATATTTATTCACCATATTTTTATGTGTAGGAACTGTTGTACAAATCACTTCAAGCACTGCATCACAAATGTTTAACTTCCTATTTATTATGAAAATAACTTCTTTCTGTGACCTCACAGCCTTATATTTTCTATTATAGTCCTTTAGATTCAGTATAATCCTTCATCACTGGAGATTTATAGCTTACTCATGAAATTAGCCATCCATGACGTGTGATCAAAACTATGATGAATATTTATTTATTTAAAAAATTATAATAAAAGACACATTGTCATTAGTCACCCTTCAAAATACTCCCCTTTACTAGGAACACGTGTATACCACTATTCTCATTATTTTCTGAAGCAGTTCTGGAAGTTCTCTTTCAGGAGTGTCTTTAGGAGCTGTGATAAAAAAAAATACAGTGAGTGCTGCTACCAAGTGCCATCCAACAGAAAAGCAGGCTTGTAAAAATATTATGGTGTGCCCTCATCAACATTAGTCACTCGATCTGGCACTGTGATATTTCTTCACCTCAAAGTGATTATTAAAGTAAACATTTTGAATTGATTGACGATGTCGAGGCAACCAGGATAGTGCAACTAAAGACATGAAAAAAAGACTTCCAGAATTGCTTTAGAAAGTGGCAAGAACAATGGCGTAAGAGTGTTTGAAGTGAGGGGGCATATTATGAGGGAGATTAAGGGCAATGTATCTTTTACTCTAAAAATATTTTTAATTTAAATGTTTGCCATGTTTCTCAGTCAAACATCATATATTTACTTGGGTTTTTTTCTGGTTTGTGCAGGTGGTAAATCTCCTGGAATAATGAAGCATGTGACTATATTGAGCTCTTTTTAAAGGAAAAGCAGTTTTACTAACTGAAAACATAGTTAAATTATTAGTATACAACATAAAAATCACAATGTGAATGTACAAATACTTGGAAAAGAGGTATGTTCACGAGTTAATCATGATTAATAAAGATATTTATTGCTTATTTCCCTCTATTTGTTGTGGGAAAGTGAAATAGAAGTATTCCACAATTTTAAAATGTCCTATATGGAGCCAGAATTTCTTTCCAAATGAAAGGTGCCTTGTGTATTTCAGAGTATGTAATTATATTGTCATGTAAAGTGGTTTTCAAACTGTCTCTCTAGAATATGTGTGTTTAACAGATTGATTAGCAGCAATATTTTTCCTGAGTTAGAGGCAAATAAGTATCATTTGGTCTATTTTGTGTTTTACTTATATGTATTTCCTTGTTCTAGTTCTGTCACCTGCCTGTAGATGATAAAATTAGTTTACAAGTAATGAATATTAATGCAATGCTCCTAATAACAATGCTAATGGCAATCAGCCTTAATCATCAGTTCAAATATATCGAGAGCTAGTATTTAATATGTTAAGAGCTTTAGGGACATTATGCAATTTAGCTCTTGCAATCTCAAGAGGGTATTATTTCCATTTTACAGATGAGTAAACTGAGACTATAGAGAACAATTATCTACTTAATTCCTCATAAACTTTCAGCTCCCCCTTCATTATTCTCTTGCCTAGCTTTTCATTCGTTTTCTGACAAGAATATTAGAATAGACAGAGGGTGGCATTCTTATTAACACTCTTTTTGATGTTTGTGTGATATAATAGATTAACCTAGAACTTGTTAGGCTATGTTCCATAAAAATCTTCATCAAGATTCTAGTTTTGTTGATGAGTGAGTCATTTTTTTTCATTTGTTTGTTTTTTGCAAAGTAAAAATTAAACTAGAATATCTCTAACCATAGCCCTGTTGTAACAAGAGTTCTGCAGAGATAGCAAGATTTTCCAGTTAATTCTCAGTTTAATTGCCTTCTTTCAAGTTCTATATCTATCATTCTAGTGGATTGCTAACTTCAGTGGTTTTGTTCTAACACACAAGGCTTCAGAGAAAAGCAGGTGCAGTTAGGAGCATATTAATTGGAACTCGATTCAGGGATATTACTTTCCACCTTGCAAAGAGAGATAGAGTTCTCCAAATTTGTAGTCAGCATGGAGCTCTATTGACACATGAAATTTTGAACATCACTTAGATAAATCATTGAGCTTTTTTCAGATCCATCATGTGATTTGGGATGGTTTCCAGCACATCTGGGTCCAGAAATCAATGAATGGATCGTGCTCGTCAACAAAAGCCATTGTTCATCTGTGAAAGAAGCATATGGGAAATAGGTTCGTGTTAATTTTTAATACAATTCACAAATAACATCCCTTTAGGGCACATGAAAGAATAAAGCTGTGCAGAGAGTTTACTCTAAGATACATTAAAACCCCCCATCAAATATACATCAAAACTCATATCAAAGTACTCACAAGTATAGTCCAAATGGCCCTACACAAGAGGATCAATTTGCTTAAAATGCGTCTCAGGGAGAGAGTACCCACCACACACAGCTTGCCATCTGGGGCTTTCCATTAACTCTCAGCCATGCGGCCCCTGTGCTATGTGCACTTCCACAGACCTGCTCTCCGCTTTCCCAGCATGACTGGGAAGGTTACAGTTGTGAACAA